ACTCCTCAACACCCCTTTCTCCTGTCACCAAATCATCCACATAAAATGAATTCAACAAGTTCTGAACCAAACCAGGGTCAGCCTCATATTGACTGATATGATACTTCAAAGTGGCATTCAAAAGAAAAGGGCTAGCATTGACTCCAAACACCACACGACAAAACCTATATAACATCAATCCGGGATTCTCTTCTTCTAAACTGTCCACCCAGAGGAATCGCAGGACATCACGATCTTCTTCAGCAACTCCCACATTGAGAAAGGCTTTTTCAATGTCTCCTACAAGTGCAATTCTTTTCTCTCTAAACCGGAGGAGAACATTGAAGATTGTTGGAGTTAAGGCTGGTCCTGAGTAAAGACATTCGTTAAGACTTGGACTATCACTGCTGGGCCTTGACGACGCATCAAAAACAACACGAAGTTTGGTTGTAAGGGCATCCCGGCGTACCACCCCATGATGCGGTAAATAATGCACCCTTCCAACATCAGGACGCTTGGCACAGTCTACTTGCTCAATTATACCACTCTGCAACTGATCTTGTATGATGGAGTCATATTCTTTCAAGATCTCTGGATCCTTTCTAAGACGTTTAAGCTGCGTGCTCAATCTTGCTACACAGTTCTCAAAATTATCTGGCAACAGCCCATGTTGCTCCTTCCAAGGTAGATGGACCAAATACTTGCCATCTTCAAAACTCAAATTCTTTTCAAAGGCTTCAAGAACAGTATCCTTATCTCGAATGCCGACAGAATCCAGATCCCACAATCTATCCAAATCCCCTTGCAGCGTATCATCAACAACCCTTGACTCCGTCCTCAACACGTGAGTCGACGAAAACTGAATACTTGAAAGTTTCTCCCTCGGGAGATTTTCCACCGGACCCGACAACACCCATCCAAACTTGGTAGAAACAGCCACAGGTCCACCCTGACCTGACTCCTCCCCCCTTACTGACTTGCCATCAAAGAAATCCCAGATATAATCTGAACCAATCAACAAATCAATCTGCATTGTATTGCTGGCAGGGCACACATCAGCAAATTCAATGTTTTTTAAGCTGGGATATCTTTCTTTAACCCATTCCAAATCTTGACCTTGTAAATCATTACAAATGTGAGGGACTGCAAATGCATTCAATGTTGTTTTAAAGTCTGTTCCTGATTTGGTTAAAGAAAGTTCGACCAGGTTGACAGCTTCCAGCTCTTGGTTCTGATCCCCAAATGTTGCAATTTTCAGTCTCTCTGTCCTGACAGTTTTCAATTTCAAGGTATTTACTACCTTTTGGTTGATATACGATCGCTGGGCTCCAGTATCAAAAATTGCACGTACAGTGAGACTATGAGAGAGTTCCTTCCCCGGGATTGAGACATTTACTTGAGCAGTTTGTAAGAAAACATGCATCCCAGAACCAATATGCAATGCAGGTGAGGCTGTTGCCCCAGCAGGAATATTACTGCTGTCTGCCATAGTACTATTACAAACTGCCAAATGGTGACGACCACTACACTTGAAGCACTGAATTTTGGTGTCACAGTTACGGGCTAGGTGCCCCCCACGGCGCAGGCAATTGAAACACCTCCCTTGTTTCTTCAAAATTTCTCTTCTTTCATCAATATTTGTTACAACTTGGCACTCAGACGCTCGGTGATTTCCTTTGCAAAACAAACAGTTTAACTCCCCACGATTTCCGCTCAACAATGCACTCGCAGTTGATTCATTGCCAGGGTTAAACGATTTCTTTAATGGGGATTTTTTCTCCACAGATGTATTCATACCACACCTTTCACGGGCCTCCACTTCATTTTTGACAGCTTTTATTACAGAAGTTAGCTCCCAGTTATCCTTATGTTCCCTGCTGACAATCAATCGCAATTCTTCGGGCAACTTCTCCATGAATATAGGAATCAAAAGAGCTCCATACTGTGCAGAATCAATTCCCAGTGCTTGTAAACCTCTAACCTGAATTTCCAAATTATCGAGAACAGCTCGGATTCCCTTAACGTTAGACATGGCATTCACAGGCTGTAATTTGAGTAAGGCCTCCATGTGAGAGCTAATAATTATCTGCTTGTTTCCAAATCTATCGGTTAAGATTTCAATAGCCTCCTTATAGTTCAGTTCAGTTAATGGTAATCCAGTGATAGAATTTAGAGCTGGGCCATCTAATAGACTTCGCAGATAATTAAACTTGTCAACATTGGTTAGCGAAGCGTTCTTATGCACTGCAGACGAGAACGAATCCCAAAATGTTTGCCAGTTTTTTGGGTCGCCAGCAAATCTTTTTATGTGTAGTTTTGGTAGCTTCGCACCGTTACTAGAACTAGATGGAACAGACCCACCTTGACTTCCTTGAGGCGATTCTTGTTTGCCATGAGAATTTTCACATTTCTGCAACTTGACAAGGGCGCCATGAATTCGCGCGCGAAACTCTTCAGATTCCTCTATCTCCGGTTCTAAATTTCCTTCGTCGATTGCGGCCAAAATCGATTCGTCCAAGGTCTTTAAGGTCGCTAATTTTTCATTGACCGTAATAGTTATCCGTTTTATCTTGTCTTTAGTGGTATGAGACCCATCGTAATCCATGAGAAGTTCATCGACTGATGAAAGAATTTTCCTTGCGTGTAAGCGATGCGCCGCACGTATTTTCAGGTTCTTCGCTAGTTTTCCAGGCATAATTCAGCTAGTTCTGACTCCAAATCCGGCTCTTGGGACCAAATATGATAGATTTTATTCGAAACCAATATATCTCTACAGTAACGGGCTTCTATTCCGATACACTTGCCAAAAACGATAGGGTTCCACAAAAGTAACGGGCTTCTAAACCGATACACGTGCCTTCCACAAAATTACAATTCTCCAAATCGAAAAACTACTCCGTTCAAAGTGTCACATGATCACGTGTTCGAAACGTGATCGGCTACATCTAAGGTCAAAAGATGTCACGCGCGAAAAGTAACACAAAACTCCGTGACATCCACTGCATAGTGGAATTGGTTTCCCTAATACTTACCCGGATTTATTCGTTGGATAGTGCTATTCGACGTTTGAACAACTGAAGCCTGATGGGTAGCGGAACAAAAAAAAATTGCGTTCCTCTCCTGCTTAGCTTGTTTGATTGAATAGTGCTCATCTGGTTTTGGTTTTGAAGGATCTCTTCCCCCTGTCAAAAATTTCTGTGATCCTTAAAACGGATGACACCACAAGCGGTACAAGGGGCATGGATCCGCGCAAGCAGTTACGGGTGGTTCAGGGTTGAATGACTCTTGAATGAGTTAACTAAAAGCATGTTTCCACCTTCCTAAGGACTGTGAATAAAGAAAAGACCAATGGGGATCAAGGCATGTCTTCCATTCACAACAACATTTCAGTTTACTGCTCGTCTTTCAAACTTCAAATTATGCCACATAACGGCATAGACGGAGCAGAATGTAAAAACGTAACTTGAATAAATTTACTTTAACACAACATGGACAAAACTCTAGGTAAAGTTGAGATTGCGAATTACAGCATAGGGCAATACTAAGATGAAGAACTATTCATAAATATTATAGTATTCAAACGGTGCAACTTAGTCAGCTGACAGTGTATAAATGCAAAGTCTACTAGTCTACGTAGAAACTTGTCTGAATAATAGCATTGTAGCATAGAATTTTCAATAATGATATAAAACAGTTTATCAATCAAGGGGGCTCTTACAGCCGTAACACTATCAGATATTTTGAAACCCAACGTATTTATGCCTAAATTTGAGAATTCGATTACTTTTATTACATTGCAGCCAACTCAACCAGGGCTACTGACACTTTGAAATTTAATACTTAAGAGTGAGTTAACGGAGCAACGGAGTTTTATAAGCATTGGTTATATAAGGCAATTTTCATGAAAGGCGCTTTTAACAAACAATTTTAATTAAATTTACAAAAGGGCCTTTGCCCAGTTATTGATAATGATGTTTGGGTGGCCCCTGCTGAGTTGTTTGCACAAGTGCAATATATAACATGGAACGGCAATGTTCATTATAAATACCTGTAAAAAGGGGGAAAACATTTTCACTGTTCTATTGAAAATTTAAAAATTTATTTGCCAATACAACCAAAACAGTGGTTACTTGGTTCGACGTCTTTTTTTCTGCAAAATGAGCAAACAGTGCTTTATTTTTAACTATATTTTTGGAGATACCATAAAATCATTGCATTGTGTGAAATGTTTTAGGTCACCTGGACACTGGCTTAATCGTCTTGGGATAAAAGTCGCCTATTTATTACAGTTTTTCAAAGTAACGAAGAACTTAGTCGTCTGCACTGTTTTACTGGTGAGCTAAAGTTTATAGTTGCACCCGATGGAAGGATTTTTCACAAGGTGTATTAGCAAGCATAAACTAGTATCCATGAAGGCAGTAGCATAACTGAAAAACCAAGAACAAGTTCGTGGGGTACAACTAAACAGTCACGTTTTTTCACTTTAACTGGGCCAGGTGAATGATAAGAGTGTTATACGGATAAAATGTAGTTTTCCTTAAGTTACCTTTCCCAACAAAGTCTCTTAAGGTTTCATTTTTTATATAACTTCGCCCTTCACCTAAGAAAGAAGACATTCGTATCAAATTTCGTCACTGTGGTTGTTCCTGCGCTAGGTTTAATATTGCTGGGATAATTACGATATTTTTTTTCCTGAGAGAAAATGATTTTAGGAATTTTTGATAAACAGGTAAATCAGTATGAAATAAAAAAAAATTGGTTTGGTCGTACAGCCTATACAAACACCAAACAAACGAACGATCATGACGTGAAGCCTTGGTAAACCGATATGACACGCTCGTCCAACTTACCCAGCAATGTTGCATGGGTGAACACTATGTTTAGGATGATGTTGGATCAGATTATGCTTCTTACCAGACTTTGCTTTAAATAGAAGTAAGCGTATAGGCGAATGTGTAAAAACTTACGTGGTAGCATTTGTTCTGCTATTTTTCTATATAGGCAGCTGGCAACGGCCTAGTTTATTTCCTGTGAATGCGCCTTTCATATTTAATTCGATTTACAATCGTATCCACGGACACTTTCTTGATCAGCTGTTTTCCCCAGGCGTCCTTTTCGAGGGCTTCCTTTATTGTTTTCTTCACAATCGGAAATGACTTTTTAATCATGTCGGCGAATTTAACTCGAATTTTCTCTACGTCACCGTCTGAAAATACATTCCTGACACTACTTCCTACAGTGGGTGGTATGATATCACTTGAACTTCCACCCACATCAGGCAGTCCTCTCACTATACGTTGCTCAAGGGTTTCCACTTCAGAGGGTGGACTTGCAGGTCGTTCTGTGGAAATCGATGGAAGCTTTCTGAATCGCCACTGTGACCTTATTTTGTCCAATACTCTTTTTGGGTCTTCATTCTCCAGTTGTGGATGGTTGGAAATTTTGGACCTCACGTCTTCTACGGAAACAGCTTCTTTCTCGATTTCATCTTTGAAAACACTCTTTATTAATGCCTCCATACCGGCACTCCAAGAAACTTTTGAATTCAAGTTAGACGCACAATCTTCTGAAGCTGGTAGGCTGGGGTTGCTTTGACAATCTTTTTTCTGCTGATCAAAGGTTTCCTGAACTTGCCCACGCATGACATTACGTAGCTGCTGCGAGGCTTTAACCGATGATTTAGACTTCTCCTGTAAACGGTAAAACTTGCGCGCTATGTCAATATTGTGGGCCATCAAATCGGCAAGATGTCCAAGCGCTTCTTCACCTTGGCTGGTGTTGTGAACTTTCAACACAGCTGACTTTCTGAACAGAGTGGAAGAAGGACTTCCCGTCATTCCCGCTTTCTTCCAGAAAGATTTTATGGCCTTGTTCACTTGACTGGATTTCAGGTCTTCTCCGTTCCACGATACAAAACCTTTTTGCTAGAGTTGCTAGAAACACCAGGAACTCTGGAACGTACTTCTCGGACGAATATGTTCATCCAGCTATGCAATTTTGGGCTCATAACAATTCTGGCTGGACCATGGGTTGCGACTGTTTTACTGGCCTTAACAAGGATGACATTTTCGTCATCATGTTTTGATGCTCTGTTGAATTCTTCCAAAAGCATATTTGCAATGACACCAGCTCTGTTGGCATTGTCTACTGATATCTCAACCATCAAAAAATCTCTAATAAGAGTGTACTGGGTTTGGGTAATCTCTATTGAATGCGCACCTGACAACTGACCCAAGAGGCATATGGCGGCTCTAGAGGCTTCACTTCTCTCAAATTCTGCAATTTGTTCAGGAGAGATTAAGGAATGGAGGTCCTCGTCCATCTTCTCCCAGTGCCGTTTATCACACCCTTTGCGGAATGATGTAGACCATCTTGCGAGCTTCTCTTTTAAAGAAAGGAGTTTCTCTTTAGAGATTTCAATGCCAGTGGCTTCACTTAAGCAAAAAGAGTAAAAATAGCGAAGGCTCATCAGATACGATTTGGTAGTTTTCGGATGGTACTCTTTCTTTGCAAAGCCTTCTATGAATTTTTCATTGATGATTCTTTCATTCAATAGACAAGCCAAATCTTGGTTGCTGTCAATCACTCTCAGAATCTTAAAAATCTGGACTCGATGCTTCTTACATGTAATCTTGTCTAGGTTCCCTCCATCGGCCGACTGAAGCCAGGCTTCGAATTTGATAATAGCTGGTGGTATGGTTGCCTCTGAATCAACTGAGCCATCAACATTTCCCACCTCTTCAGCCAGTGTTTCTTCATCGTCTTCGTCATTGATGACCACCACTTCCGGGTCAGACATTCTTGGTCGTTTATGATATGGAGCCATGTGTGATTCTTTTATCGGCCCTTGTACTCTTGACAATTCTCTGATGTAGGCATCAGAGCCTGCCTTCAAGTTGTGTACCTTCTTTAAGTGAGGTGTAATTCTCTTAACCAAGGAAGTACACCCATCAACCGGGCAATAGCGATAATGATGATAATCTTTTGGCTTTGAATCTGCCTGAACTTTGTCATCAGTGTCATCTATCTTTTCTGTCTTTTTTTTCTTTTTAGGTGCTTTTCCTGGGCTTGTGAACGTGTCCTTTTTTTCTCGTACCGAATCGCGTTAAAGCCGTTCTCGCACGTTCCTTTGGCCAGCCATGCACATCCTTTAGGTGCCGAGGGAGGTGGACAACTTGTGAAACAATTATTCCAGTGATTATAAAAAATAATCCTAATCAATTGAGAAATTAAAGCCATATTTATAAGTTTTAAGAAAAGCAAAACAAACAAACCCAAATAAAACACAACAATAAATCTCATGATACTGTCTGGTGAACAGTAAACTTGAATTTTAAACCCCAATTAAGCTTACTGTTATCTGTCTGCTGTTCACTTAAAAAAATTCTTCATGCCTCATGAAAAGTCTTAAAAATATGCCTGAGAGCTTCGAAACAGTGACTATGGTCATTTAGGTAATCTATCTGCCATTTTCCTCAAGAACAATAGCTCCATGACATCACAACTGTCCCTTAATTTAGGGGTAATCTGGACTGGTTATATATTAAGGTATCCATTTTGGCAGCTGATCAATTATTATTAAAACAAATTTCTGGATTCAGCAATAAATAATTAAATTATTATTAATCTTTCAGAAGATCACAAATTATGTCAATTGTAATGATCACCATACCACGTGCATTTTTTTCACTTGCCCTGATGGCAAAGGTGATTTTTTCCCTATTCCTTTCTAAAACACCTTGCCAAGTAACAGGATGTCACATATAAGTGAACATAATAAATCAGTATTCATGTCAGTGGTCTTTATGGATTTCAAAGAGATATGTTGTAGGTAATAATAATAATAATAATAATAATAATAATAATAATAATAATAATAATAATAATAATGGACGATTATTCCTTTCGTAGGAATCTGTAGGAAAGCAAGTGGGGGGTGGTAGGAATCCTGCAAGAAAAAACCAATCAAATTTCCACACTGTTGATACGTCATCGTACACACAAAAATCGCTTTGATGGTCATACTGAGGACAAGGGGTCACGACATGCCGCCTAAGAGCAGAAAAAACTACAAAGGTCGTAGTCCTAACGTACTGCGGTACATTGAGAGCTGTGGCAACGAGGGAGATGTAGGAAGCCTTCTTGCTTCTAATCTTGCTGCACGCGCAAGGCTTGCAGCAGAAAACGAGTCACAAGCACATGAAAAAACGAGTCGGACCTACGAGCTCCGACTCATGTCGTTGGAGAAGTTCGCCGAAGAGAATGGCGATGATGCCGTGTTGTTTGGCCCCTACAAAAGGCCATTTTTGGCGGCAACAATCCAAACTTATATGCATAAGTTTGTATTTAATTTACCGTTGTGTTATTTAAAGCAGTTTGAAGGACTGTGAGAAATTTTGTCATGTTAAGTCATTCAGGTTGACGCTTTATAAGCTTAATTAACAGTTGAATACTCGCCTGACCTGTCTAAAGGTAGCGTAGCATGATAACCCACAAAAACCTTGATACATTTTTAAAGAGATGCATCATTTTAAGTTTTGTATACCGAAACTGCCTGAGACTCAAATTATTTTAATTATTATGGTGAACTGCCATTGATATATAAACTCGAACGTCTGAGGTGTGAAGACAAATTGACTTTGACCGTGGCAAAGGTTTAACTGTAACTTTCAAGAGCCTAGATGGTTTGGTTTAATTATATTGAAGTGAGGGGAAAAATCGGTTCATTAATTCTCCACGGAATGTTCACATTTGTCTCAACAAATTGTAATGTGTGCGGGAAATAAATACACATTCATTCATGCATCTAGATGGCCATGCAGAGCCTTTTTGCAGAAAGTTTGTATGGTTTTCATCACCGATAAAATCGTCGTTTGTATTTAATTCACCTTAACTGAATGTATCTTTTAATTTATCCTTTAGTCATGTAAGCTTCGGCTAAACGATCAAACATTTTTGCCCAAACGCTTTGCTATAGCTAAACCCGTACGTGGATGTCATATCCTATCCTATCCTATCCTATCCTAAATACCTTTCCTCATGTTGACACAGCTATAAAATTAATACAGTAATCAAGGCTGTACAACTATTGTATGAATAACTGGAGTCTTTCTTATGTTGTGTGTGGATTATGTTTAATCAGTATTAACCAATTGTTGCTAGCTAGTGTATGGAAAATTATGTGTAGTCCTTCTATATTCTGTTATCGTAATTCGTACTAATATTTGTTGTAGGGTATGCAAGGATTATGGCTTTGGACAGTAACCCTTTTCTCATTTGCCCTTTTCCTCCGAGGGGAGGAACCACTACGTCTAAAACTGCGCCATTTTAAACTGCCTCCAAACTATTCAGGTTTGTCCTTTTTTACAAATTTATATTACATATAAAATAGTCAGGTCAATGAAAATGTCAACCATGCCTGAACCCGATACTTAGTACTAGTCCAATAAGCCCTAAAAACACTGAAAGAAGAATGGAAATAAATACAAGACAACCAGCGGGCAAGAGAAAATCCAAGTGCCTACA